GGCAAATCAGATGTCAAAGTTCCTTATTTTAAAAGTACTTGTCTCTTTCTTATTCTGAGATGGTGTGTCTATTAACTTGCCTGCTCTAACATAGCTGTTTGTTGCTTGGGAAATTAAAAATGAAATCACGTGCATAGGATCCCCTTGTGCAATTAAATACCACTGTGACAGACAGAAAACAAATTTGAAAGAAAAGCAGATTCTTGATATGGTATTTATAAGCATTCTTCACTGCCATGCTTTTCTTAAAGATGTTAAAATTATAGCATGGAATGTTTCAATAAGTTTGTAGCCAAAATCAAAGCCTTTAGAGAATAGGACTGAAACAAGCAAAAACATATTATTCTGTATGAAAGTCTGGAAAAGTAACTTATCTCAGACTTGTCCTCTGGCAACACTGCTGAAGAAATAACCTTTTTTTATATAAAGGATTCTGTGTTTACAGATGATGGTTGCAGGTCATGTATTTCCAATATTCCTTTTCAGAATCATAAGAAGGAAAATTGTAATACAAAAGAAGCAGCAAATGGAACATGACAGGAAAATTCATTTTTATTAACATATAGCTAATTTTTAAAAGCTACCCTTTAAATAATCCAAAAAATATATATATACTTCAGTCAGGGTAATGTAATAATTTTAGGATACTGATAAATTCCTAATTCTTTTTCTGAAAATGCTAATCCGCATAGAAAACTGATATGGGCACAGCTTATTTTGCACAACTAACAGCCAGGTATCTGGTTCATTAATTTGGTGGAAAATGAATAATTTTGGTGAAAATAAGGGTGGCAATTATGAGCAGCATGTGGCATGCCAATAATTGTTTGTAATTGTAAAGAAAAGACTAATGGCGTCTGACAAACATCCCCTGCACAAGTCAATATGCATGACAACAGGTATGCCCCTGGAACACTGTGACACTGAAAATGCTGTTCATTTTGCATAGTGTATTTCATGGAGGGCAGTTTTATCTTCATAACTAAGAAAAGGCAGAGGAAAGTTGTGGAAGTTTTAGAGATTATGGTAAATGCATTTCTAAATAGCGATGTTATACCAGTTGAGATATGCAATGAGTAGTATTATCATAAGCATTCAATCTTAGCCCAAATCCCGTTCTCTTTGAAATCAGTGATAAAATGGATTAGGCCAAATCCCTGCAGGCTTTTGAAAATCCCACTGTATGCCATTTAATAAACTATTTGGATGCATACTAGGGAAAAATTCAGATTGGTCTGTTATGTGCTTTCAAGTAAGGCTTTTCTTCTGGTCCCAAGGTTATTAAGGTTAAGTATCTGTGATCCCAGTGCAGTCAACAGGTAGAGATAGGCACAAGGGACAATTCAGAAACTGAGACCTACCTAGAAAATAGAACAACTGGAAAGGATGAGCAAAGGTGAACTAACTTCCCTTTGGTGCTTAGGTACTTCCTTTCACTCAGGATATAAAGCCCTCTTCTGATAGCAGGCATGTAACGTTATCACCCACCTTTTACATTATAACCTAGCAGTAAGAATATTTGTCAAGTAAGATTTTGTTTTGTCCTCTCTTCTTCTGACCCAATTATTCTTTCACACTGAAAGGAAGGACAGGCTGTTTTCCCATCACTGCCATTATTCCAACCTTGTTGATAATAGGGTAGCTTCCTTGGAGACAAGTTTGAATCCACATCTCTGAGAAGGGCCTAGAACCCAGACCTACCATTTTCTGAATAAGTAATCTAAGCACTGGGAGCCAAAATGTATTCTACCTATTAAAACACTGGAACAGGTTACCCAGAGAGGTTGTGGACTCTGCATCCTTGGAGGTTTTCACAACCTGGCTAGATAGAGCTTTGGCTGGGATGATCTGGTTGGGGGTGGTCCTGGTTTGAGCAGTGGGTTGGACTACATGACCTCCAGAGGTCCCTTTCAACATTAATTTTCTATGATTCTATTACACATCTGGATGGATTTAAGTGCTGAACTGCAAATCTGCTCCACCCCGTTCAAGTCCCTCAAAATCCATTAATGCATCTATTATTACAAATGTCAACTTACCCTTTAAGACTGAGTGACAAAAAAGCAATGAAAAGAAGTAGAACCCACTCACTTTTTCCTTTAACTGCTTTGCACTAACTACCCACTGCACACAACTAATAGGTGGAAAAGAATCTGTCCCTAAGCCTGCCCCCCCCCCACGCCATATACAAGTAAAGATGCTATGGGATCTACAGCTTGAGTCACATAATTATGCCTCCTGTCATGCCACACGTGCTAGGGAGGAGGCACGATTGTGAGGACACAAAGCAGATCCCCTCATGCCTTATTGCTGGTGCAGTGGGCACCCAATTCTGGAATGGAGGTCCCCCTGCACCATCAAAAAGCAAGTTCCCATATGTGGGAGCCCCTTCAGCTGACAGAGCTCCCTGCCATGGAGGTACACCACACACCCCTATGGCTAGGAGACCACAGCTGCTGCAGTCTCCCAGCTGCAGGGGCACACCATTGGAACGTGCAAACTAGCGAGGTTGTGGAATCTTCTTTCCTGGAAATTTCCAAGAGGATGTTAGATGGACACTTGGCTGGGATGTTTTAGTCAGGGATGATCCTTCCTTGAGTGGATGGCTAGATTAGATAACCTTGTAAGGTCCCTTCCATCCCTACTTTCCTAACTGTCCTGTGACTCTATGATCCATTTAGATATCAGCCAGACTGTCTATCTGAAATGGGAATGGCACATGCCAAAAGGAAAGAAAGTAGCCTGCTAAGTACATTTTTTCACTTACCTTTATAATACCTGAATGAAAAGATAAGGGATGTTTTCAAGCCGAATAGATTGGTTCTTGAAATACAATGTAGTGATTAGAGTAGTGATTCCTCTTAATCTTGCTTTTTAAAAAAATGATCCTTTAAACTTTTTTCTTTCTTTAAAATATTTCTTACCCTTTACCTCCACCTGCTCTTCTTGTCCCATTATTGGCTTTATGTGAGTGATAATCATAATTAATAATCAGGTTTGGCTGGTGTTTCATTTTTTAATAAAATCAAATCACAAGAAGTGTGCCTTCAAAAGTTTTCTCTCTCCTTTTCTTTAATAACAGATATGTATCTGCCTTCTTACCTAGGCACATACAAAAATAACCCCAAGTACCTGATGATTTCATATCTGGATGTCCCTACAAAGAGATTCATTTTGTGCAGCCAAATAAAGGCTTTCAGATAAATTCTCATTTAGTGTCAGTGATATTCAGCAGTCAGAAATATTGCATAGATGCTACCTCAGTGATTGGAAGCTTAAATCCAATCTTTGTTATTGCTCACGTAAAAAATGTAGCTTCAAGAAGTTAATCCATTGCTGATCTCTCTTGTCTGTGCATGAGTGCTAAAAAAACATCAAATTCCAGTTTCCTAAGACTACTTAATAGATATTTAAGTTGATTTTTATCTGACAATACTTCTAGTCAAATAATTATATACTTCTATAGTTTACATCATTCTAAGTACTGATGGCCCTGACTGTTGTAGCAAATACATCACCATTATTAATCAGTTTCATCTTCCCTAGGCGCATGTAGTTGGGTACATGAGTAGTATGTTCCTTATCTTACAGATGAGGAATTAAGGTATAGCTTAGGATAAGTGGCTTGTCCAAGGTGTTAACAAGGTCACAAAGTAAATTCCTGACTGATCCAGGAATTTAATCCAGGTGTCCTGCGTTTCAGTGAAGTGCTCTCTCTGCTAGATGAGGGAGTATGCAGCCTTCAAGGGGTTAATTTGCACCCCCGGATTCACTCAGCTGTTGTTTCCCACATTGCTGTGACTGCAGCAGCCACTTGAGTGACCCAGATCCTCTTCCTTCCTCTGACTTCCACTTTCTGCTCTCATCCCAGCACAGTGGGTCAGCATGGCATACTGTACTGAGTAACTTCGTGACCCAGAGCACATGGCTCAGAACAGCATGGTGCTGAAGGAAAATCTGTGGCCAGGGAAGCTAAGGATGAGGACAAGGTACCCATGCCTTGGTGCATGGTGCAATAGGGGGAGTCCTGTGTGGGGGGTACAGTAAGCGGCTGCTCACACGGTGTATGGTCTCTGCTGATGCAGCCTATGGGGTGTACAGCCCCTGGTCACTTAGCAATGGGACAGCACTGTACTAGATTATCTTTACTTATTCAGCACTACCTCCCATAGTCTCTTGCTGGAACTTTAACTTTCAACAAAGCACAGTGGTACAATGTGAGGAACACCACTATTTATTATGATGGATCCAGAATCTTGATGGATATAAGGAAATTATAAGATACAGAAGACAAAACTAGATGATAAAAATAAATAAAATCAATGTGGGTAATTGCACTGAGAAAAGAAATAAAGAATGTGACCATTGTAATGGGGTTAAATAGGAAATGGGCAGTAGAGGAAAGTGAATAGAATGCAGAAAGTGGAAAATGCAGACAGGCAGAGGGTCCTAATTCTTTCTCTCTCATGCATACAACACTTGCCCTCTCCCTCTACCTGCACCCTTCCAGTATCCTGTGCAGCTATTCTGTGAAGGAAGAAGACATCCCAATGAACTTAAATTGTGAAAACCCTCAAAGGAAATCTTTTAACTTAAAGTTTGTTTAAAAGAACATCTTCCACTGGATGCATAGAGTAAACCCTGCTCATCAGCATGTGGTTTGAGTAGAAAACAGAAGTGTGCCAAATAGCTTGTAACATTAGGTACATTTCTTTACACTACATTGAGCATTTGTATAAGCACTGTCTTAAGAAATCAAGCACATGCATAAGTGTTTTCTTGATTTAGAGTCATAAAGGAGACCAGATGACCAGTTTCTGGAACAATTCACTTCTCATTTGTCTTGACAATAGATTTTCATTAAGTAATGTTCTTTATCTGGATTTAGGAGGGGAGATGGCAGGGACAAGTAGTTGAGTACAATGTGGCTTGATGTTTATTTGGGATCTGGTGGGGTTTTGGCAAGGGGTTCCTATTTAATGGATATTTTTGTTTTTCAGACTTGAATCTCCAACTAGATCTTTAATAATGGAAGCTCCCAGGGGAGTACAAGTTAGTGCTGCTGCAGGAGACTTAAAGGCCACCTGCAGGAAAGAACTGCACTTGCAGTCCACAGAAGGGGAGGTAAGTTTTGTGCAGAATTAAATTCTCTGCAGCTCTGTCCAGCCAAATGCATGTGAAAAATGAAAGCGTGCTGTGTAAAAAGTACTACATGCAGGGCCACATAAAAAATACAAGTAATATTCTGTGATTACCCAAATTAGAAATGAATTTACTTAAGCCATACTCTTTCATCATTATTTGATTTCTAATAAAAAATTTGAAGCATTACGTTTTATTCACACCGTTACTTTCAGGAACAAATATACTAAGAAAACCCATTAAGTGTTTGCACTCAAAATTGTACATATTATATGGAATGAAATGCTGCAGGTTACTCAAGTCCTTCACCAGATCCCTAAAAATGAGTCAGTTAATTGGCAGGTTAGGAACTGACTATGCCCTTCACAGTTAGGATTTTGCAGACCCACATAATATGACAAACCAACCAATAAATCGTAAATTTTGAATAACGTTTTGGTGAAGCTTGAGAAAGAAATCTAATACTCTGTAATTGCATTACTTCGGATAACAGATACTTTGATTATCATTATCGAATAAGTTAAATTGATTATATTGAATCAATTTGACTTTGCTGACTATCCAAAGAAAGTTAAATTGATTAGATTCTTTATCCAAGTTTGGTAGTTGTTGCCCATGTTTTAAGTTCTTTGTGGATACACAGGGGGCTTTGATGTTCAGGACAAAATAAACCTGCACCATTTGTGAGCGCTAAATTGTAGAATAAAAAGATAAAGCAGGTATGTACAGGAATAATATATGACAAGCATTACATCAAGTATATAATAATTAAAATGTAGTCATACTGAATAGTTTACAGCTTTTTCTTTCTTAGCTCATGAGAACTCCACTTTGAAAGAGTTTTTATTTTTATTTTCTTAATAGAACATTTTTTTCAAATTAGATCAGAGGCTTAAAAGCAACTCTTGCTTTCTATCATAAACAAATCCCTTGATCACTTTCATATATGCATTAATGCACCATTTTAAGATTAAAAGTTTTGTACTAGAAAAGTACTACACTTAATTTTTGTATAGTTCATATACCAGCTAACCAAATTGTACTTGGAGATTTTTATTTATTGTACAAATTCAGACAAGATACATTTAATGAATTTCTACTTTTTTTCTGAGGCACAATTATCTCCTTCATATGCTAGCAATTTTTTTATAGTCCTTGAAATCAACCAATTATAGCAATATCTAAGAACATTTTGGATTTACTTAGATTAAATTATGAAAGATATGCTCCCCTTTTATTTAGCAATAACCTTAAGATATTATTTTTTGAAGACCTTAAATAAGTTTACCAAATCCCTTTCCCCCAGTCCTATTTCTCTTATATAATATGATCTGTAGTCATTCATGTCATAAACTGAAAACTTTTGCAAGCATTCTGGTTTCTGCTATTCAATACTTTTTTCTTTTTATTTACTTCAATATCACAATAATATTTTTATTTGAATTATAAATTATAAAAAATGATCCCAGATTGAGTACTGGAGGCTATAATTTACTTTCAGGTTCTGCTGCTCTTTATGAAGCACTTGAGCTACACCCTTGTGATTCAAGAGATCAGGAGAATCCTTTGATTCAATTACAGCTTAGCATTTAATTGTGAGCTATGAATTATTCTATAAATAAACCATAGCCAATGGCTTAAAGTAGCATCATTTACACATAAAATAGAATTAGAAGCTCTGGCATTAACAGATTCAGTCAGTTCATATAACAAGAAACATTCCATCACTGAAAAATACAAGCCCATGGCTGCTAATTGACTATTGCTTCTTCTACATACAAAGACAGTAGAAAAGATCAAAGATACTCACATCATGGTATTTTCTTCCTGAAGTTACCATTTTTTGCTAAGCCTACAAATGCATACAAATATATCATTCAGCCTAAGATGATCAGATGGTTAAATGATTATTTGGTGATGTCAATTCAAATACTGATAATATGATTTAAGTGATTTTGATGAAAGATTTGTCTCTGAAGGAGGAGGATGTCTATCTGGACCAAGTTCTTATGAAACCAAATCTAATTCTAATTCCTGTGGTATTCATTTTCTCAAACAGAACATTTCCATGTAGCCAAGCCTCTCCCTTTTAGCAACACTCACTGTCTAGTAAGGCTGTGCGAAGCTTCAGTCCCTGATTTGATTCGGGGGACATTCGGCCCACTTCAGTGGCCAAATCTCTGAATCCGAATTGAATCAGAGGATCCTTTAATCTCTCTGAATCAAATCAGAACCCTCCAAATCAATTTGGAAAGATTCAGAGATTCAGACAGAGACAGCTTTAAATGTTTTTTCTACATACCTCTAGGTAGCAGGGGCTCATGAGTGCTGCAGTAATAAGGCACATGGAGCATCCCACAGAAGTATGGGGGGCTCCCCAATGCACTCGGTGGCAGACCCAGAGGCACTTCCAATCCACTTCTAGGTCTACCGGGGAGCACGCTAGGGAGCTGCCCAACCTTGCCGGCTCAGTGACTGGTGCCTCCTCGGTCTGCGGGTGGGGCACCTGGAGTCCCCCTGTGGCTGATTGCCGAGCAGGGGAGGAGCAGGGGGGGCCCCCAGTGCGTCCCCTGGCAGACCCGGAAGTGGATTGGAAGTACTTCTGGTCCACTTCCAGGTTCACTGCTGAGCATGTGGAGGGCCCCCCCCCACTCCTGTGGGATGCTTCATGCACCCCAGTATTGCAGCAATCATGAGCCACACCTGCTACCTCAAGGTATGTAGAAAAAACTTTTAAAACTGTGTCTATGTCCAAATTGCTGATTCTCTGAATCAGCATCGAACCTTCAGATTTGGATTTGGCTGAATCAAATCAGGGATGGTGATCCGAATCCAATTACTGTCTACACTAAGATTTTTTCCCTCCAAAATTTAATTTGTAATGAAGCAAAATGTAGGGCCCAGTTTCACAAATTCTTCATGTGTAGCACCCCCGTTATTAAGTTGCATTAGGTATCTATCTGTGTATTAAGCACCAATAAGGTGTTTGGGGGTGTACCAGAAAGAGAAGAGAACAATGTCCACACAGAGAGGAGTTTATGCCCTAGCTCAGAGTCACTTATGAATCAGCATCGAATCTTCAGATTCAGATTCAGCCAAATCAAATTGGGATAGTGATTTGAATCAAATCACTGTCCCTGATTGGGGCCAAATCTGAATCGAATACGGCCCACTTCAGACACCCCTAGTAAAGAGCAGTCGCTCATGCTAGATAAAGCTCTTTGTTCATAAGTACAAAAGGCCATGAGTAGAGCCTGAGCTGTGATGATAGTTTTAAACATCCTTACATTATCCTGATCTTGGACCACCATGCTTCACAGAATTCATTGCAGCACTGTTGGGCTGCAGACCCTGCCAAGCACTCTGCTCCCAAGTATCCACCTCAGTTCTGCCTCTAGAATATTACCTCCCTACCTATCCCCAAATGTAAGCACTTTCAGAGTGTGTCTTGAAAGGGCCGTTTTCTTACACAATTACTGCTCCAGGATAATAAAACACAGCGTAAAAGAGGCTGTGTGCATGTGTGTATGTGTGACGATCTTAGATCTTATATCATACATGCTATTTGAATCCTTACCGAAGCAAAATTCTAAACATTGAAGTTAATAGGATTTTTGCTTAAAGGGCAATAATAATGGCTAATTCAAAATAATTTTGGAACTTTGTTTTTTGGGGGGTGGTAGATTTTAAATTTAATGTAGTTTTTTTTTTTTTTAATTTTCTTTAACTCTAGTCAAATATATCATATATTTCTGTAGTAAAAATTATGTTTTCTTCTATACATGCCATTCCCTGCCTGGTTCTGGCTGACATATGGCTTCTGAACTATTATATCAAAAAGCTTAGTGTGGTATAGAATTTTCGAATGGAAAATAATCTGGTGCTGATGCAAGAAGAGGTTGTCACAATATTACTATAGAACATGAAAAAAAATCAGAGAATGTCATAATCTTTTAACCCAAATCTGTTGAGTTGTGATGATACGCCAACATTATTGTATGTACTTCCCTGCTTGTAGCTGTAGGTCCTTTAAGCATTTCATATAGCTGGAGAACGCTCTTCATCAATTATCATTGAAGTTTGGATTTTTTTTGCCAAAGGGTTCAATTTACTTTGAGTTGTTACTTATAAAGATCATTACATCACAGAGCTGTCTTTTCAAATAATAATTCACTATTTCATTTCCTTCTGTTACCACTCCATTTGCCTGATTTTCATGTTGCATGGACAAATCCATGCCTCAAAGCAGTTTACCAGCAGAAGAAAACAAGGTTGCTTCTCCTTCAGTTGTAGCAAAAACAAAATCCAGTTTTGTTGACGGCACAGCGTGAAACAAATCTCAGATGGAAATTAATGAGCAGCTAGGTTTAACAAATCTTGCTAATTTAATTAGTAAAATAATTCTGCCAGGTTCACCTGATCTACACCAGAGTAATTCCACTGAAGTCCCTGTTTTATAGCACCTCTACATTGCATAAGTATAACAATGCTAATGCAAAAGAAAAAAAGAAAAACCTTTATAGAGATTTATAGATTAGTGTTTTATCAGACAAAAGGGGGTAATAGGATAATCTAATCTGATCTCCTGCATAACACAGCCCCTCAAAATGACCTGAATTAATTCTCATTTAAAGTAGAATACATATTTTAGAAAAAAACCCTAACTTAAATTATAGAATATCCAATAATAGTGAGTCTGTTACCATCATTGGTAATTTGTTCCAGCAATAAATTACTTTCATTCTTAACATTGTGTCTTATTTTTAGTCTTAATTTGGATTTTGCTGTTGCCTTATCTTCTAGATTTGAAAAATCCTCTAATATGGGATAGATAACAACCCATGTCAGTGTTGACCCTTTTAATAGAACAGAACATGATTAACTTTTTCCTCTGGAGTTTCCACCATTTACTGAAAAGCCTACATGAATAATCCAAAGATCTCCAGAGCCATTTTTTTTGAAGTTTTTATGTGCAAGTTATC